TTCATCAATATTGATCTATGGGGTCTCAAAATCTTCAGAAAAGTACCCTCATCCACTTAAGCGGAGCAGAATTTGAAAAAAAAAGTTTGTTTTTCTTCCAAGAGCTTTAATATGGCTTCTAGTGTTGATAAAATACTAATTTTCTCAAAAATTGGCACATTTTGACGTGTATATAAAGTTGTACGCAATTTTTCAAAATTCTGCTCCGCTTAGGTGGACGAGAGTACTTTTCTGAAGATTTTGAGACCCCATAGATCAATATTGATGAAAAACTCTTTTCAAGATCATGCGGCAAGTGATTTATAACACAATATTTCGTCTTATGAAAAAAGTGATGTAATTGGTATTTCAGAGCTTGGGTAGAAGTTGTTTTTGGTCAATCTGGTGTAGAATGAACTTATTTTACTATCACAAAAAAAAAATTTCCACTATTTCGATTCATATAGCTATTTTTAGCTGAAGCTGAATTTAAGCTTTTAACACAGGTCGGTCCCCTTAATTGAACATAAATTAATTACATTTATTAGGTCTGATTGCGTGAGTGATGCGCCACATCGATGTGGGCTCTGAGATTTCTTTTCTGTCCAAATGTCTTGCCGCATGTCTCGCATGAATGTATGATACCACTATGCGACGATTTGACATGCTTACGGAGTTGAGTTTGATATTTAAATTTTTTTCCACAGAAATCACATGCGAGGGTGATTCCATTGTGCTCCGCATCGATATGGGCTTTAAGACTACTTTTCGAAGTAAATTTTTTTGTGCACATATCACATTCATGCCTGACACCATTATGCTCCGATGCGATATGTATTTTGAGAGAACTATTTTGTGTAAACTTCTTTTCGCAAATATCGCATGCATGTCTGACACTATTATGCATCGCATCGATGTGGGTTTTAAGAAAACCTTTTTGAGTGAATGTCTTTCCACAAATGTCACATGCATGTCTGACTCGCTTGTGCACCGAATCGATGTGCCTTTTTTGGCTACCCTTATTTGAGAATGTCTTTGGGCATTTATTACAAGGATGCATAATTTTATGATGTATCGATTCGACGTGGCTTTTGAGATTATCTTTCCGAGTGAATGTCTTCCCACAAATATCACATGCATGTGAAACACCATTATGCACCCAATCGATGTGGTTTTTAAGATGACCTTTTTGAGTGAATGTCTTTTCACAAACATCACATGCATGTGAAATACCATAATGCACCGATTCGGTGTGGGTTTTGAGATAACTTTTATGTGTGAATGTCTTTTCACAAATGTCACATGCATGTCTGACTCGCTTGTGCACCGAATCGATGTGCCTCTTTAGACTACTCTTGTCTGAGAATGTCGTTTGGCATATATCGCATGCATGTCTGACACCATTATGCACCGAATCGATGTGTTTTTTGAGACTAATCTTGTCTGGGTAGGTCTTCTGGCATATACCGCATGGATAAGTGATTTTACGATGTACAGAATCGATGTGGATTTTGAGATTCGTTTTCTGTGTGAATGTCTTTTGACATATATCGCATGGATGCGTGATTTTACGATGCACCGAATCGATGTGCCTATTGAGATGACCTCTAAGTTTGAACACTTTTCCGCAAATATCACATGCAGGTGTAATTTTGCCAATACGGACTGATTCAGTCTGAGGTTTTAGCCTATGATTATAGTTAATCTCTTTTGAAACACATCCTTTTTCATTTTTCGCGCTGAGTCCACATCCTAAATTCAAATCACTTTCTTTTTCGCTAAAAATTTCTTTCTTCACTGTCCCGACAATTTCTAGTTTAATAATGCTTCCGGTTTTATAATCATCACTATGCTGCCCGTGATTTGTAGAGAAATCTTCAATTTTGGCCAATAAATTGGGCTTCATGTCTGTACATTCCAACTCGATTTGTACGTCGCCAAGTTCATTTTCGTGATTTTCGTCGCATTCTTGAAGAAGCTCTTGGGTCTGAAAAAAAATTAAAATTATTAGGAAAGTTTCATTAATGATAGTCGACATTGATTATCAACACTTACTGAATTTTCTTGCCAAAAACTTTCGTACTTAATATGTTGAGTAACTGTAGATGTAATGTCAGTTATTTCATAATCATTATCATCATTGAAAGGTTCATCAAGAGGCTCATCTTTCACTCTGAAATAGATTTAATTAGATTAATTATTTTTTTATTAGAATTTCGTAATGTCATTTTTATAAAAGAAAAATTACCTGGCGGTAGGATTTAATACATTGCTCGATTCCATCTTACTCGATGGAAATGTTATTGTCGACTTACTCTGTTAATACTTTCGTTACGAGCCGAACTAGCTCAAACTTACTTGAATAATATTTACTTATTATGATGTGGAAATTGAAATTAATGTAAACGAAGCAACATTAGTTTCAATATTAAACAAATTACGTTATCGATCTACCTCATTCATAATAATCACTTTTCTGAAAATAATCATTATACAGTAGGCCCTCCGTATTCGCGGTAGTTAGGTTCCTAAAAAACACCGCGAATACGGAATCCGCGAATAATTGAAAAATAATGATAATACATGTAATAATAATAATGTCGAATAACAAAAATATTGAATAATTGAAAGTATTTATTTTATTGGCATTTTTCAAAATATTCCGTAATGCGGGATTGTTTTATTCGCCGAACCATGTCTGTGTACAACTCTTTATAAGGATTTAATGTCATCGTTTAAAAAATGTAAACAACAAATACAAAAGTTAACCAAAAAGTTACGTTTGGCATCAGGTAAACACCGCGAATATCGAATTTTGTTTCCGCGGATACGGAGTGACGGTATCAACAAAAAATTCCGCAAATATAGAATTCGCGTATACTGAATCCGCGAATACGGAGGGCCTACTGTATTACTAAGAAATTAAAAAATTAACTAAAACAGCTGCAAGCGATGTGAAACATTTTTATCAATTAATTAAAGAATTAAACATTTAAAGACAAATAAAATAAAAACAAGAAAATTGATCGATCAAATAATTCATTTGAATCATAATGTAGGCGGATCGTCGCGGTCGCGATTACTCGACAATTTTACTCGCCGACGAAAAATAATAGATTATTCGCCGCTTCCCATATAAATAATACTCGGTATAATGCGAGGTTATTTCCCCCCAAATATTTTAACTATTTTCATTACCTTATGTAAATGCTCAATCGATTGATGGTGCGTGGAAGAAAACAAAATGTATTTTCTTGTCAATGAAATTTTTTTCAGTGCGCTGAAATGAACCAGTGTAAAATTGTAACTCACAAAAATAAGTCGAGGAAATAAATGTCGGTCCGATAGCAGAGCGATGGTGCAAATATTATCGTTGTTCAGTTGTCATTTTGATTAAAACTCAAATTTCTGAGAATCAAAACACTTCCAGTTATACTTTATATCTACGCCGTGGTGGTTTTCGATGTTTTTTTTATCATTATTCGTGTAAACAGCGTTGGTTTCAGTGAGCTTTACGCTCACAGTCTATGCCGAGTAAGCGACGCCAGTGGGGAGAAACCGAAACATTCGAGCCGCAGTTAAGCGGTCAGCGATCTATGCGCGCGAAGGAATTTTCAAATTTTTTTTCAGCTTTTATATCTTCTGACCATAAACATGATCCTATTCATAAATTTTATGTAAATGTGTTGATTTTATTTGATTTTTTTTTAATGATATGTTGTATCTTACATGATTATACGAAAAATCTCTTATATGATACTTGTAACGAAGAAATAGTCGAGCGATGTTTGCACGCGTTACGTAAATATATGCACATCGTTTTTATTTGTTTATATATATTAGATCAAAATGTACACTAGTTTAATACGGTATAAAATGATGGTGCACCAGCAAGAAAACATTAACAAAGCAAACACGGGCTCTGCATCTTTGTTAATCAATGTACCATTTTAGCATTAATAAATATTATAACAATTATTAATAACAGTATCTACTATTTAATTCATCATTCAGCTATTAATATTGATCTAATAAGTTCAAAAATAACTTCGCGCTTACAGTAATGACTGCTCGACTGCGCGCTTCAACTTCTCGCCACCGTGGCGCTTACTCGGCATAGACTGTGAGCGTAGAGCCCACTGAAACCAACGCTGCGTGTAAACCGTTAATTTATTTCAGAGATTGGGATTTTCTCAAAACAATAATCGATGCCGCGCCGTTATGAATTTTTTAGCTCGTGGCATTCAATCATCGGTCGATTGAGTTGCTCGGTCAAACGACGACGCGATGCAGTATAGGCGACGTTTATGATGTACATCGATCGACGATTAGAAAGCTTATGAAAGTAGCCATGTGCCACTTGCTGCAGCTATTATACATACTTCCAGCTACTACGACTGCTACAACTGCCGTTACTCTCGAACTACAACTTGGCTTTCTCTTTCTCAATGATTCGACCATGTGTTTTTTACTCACTAAAACGTGAATATCAGTATACGTTCGAAGGCGGCAGTGTGAACAACGAGAAATAAACGTAGCGATTGGGCCTCGAGTGAATTTTGTAGAAAAAAGAAATGAATTTTGTTACATCGCGAATTTTTAAAAAGCGAGCGCGAGTGCGAACAATTGCCGAGAACGTTGATTTAGAAAAAGTAAAGTGCTTGCGAGAGAAGGTCAATTGGGAGGTCGAGACGGAGCGACGCGAGTTTCTCCGTCGACTGCGCCCTTTGATCGAAAACTGGAAGGGCCAACTTCCCAACCTTTCGAAGGTATTTCGATCCGAAGAAATCAAGCGTCTCATCTGGGATTCGGCGAAAGGCCTTCTCTTCGCCGGATTCGACGATTGCGGCGAGGAATATCTACGATTCATCGTGTTCGTGATCCGAGCCGGCATTAATGAAAGCAACCTCGAACCCGACGAGGTCGCATTGCTGCAACGTTTAGCTAGATCATGTTTCATGGCTCACTCCGAATATCGCCTGCATCCCCACGACGTTCCTCGTTGGCTGATTTTCGAAGTATACGCGAAATTCGATGCGAATTACTTCGACGAGGAGACCCGTCCGGAGCATTTCCACATGGCCTGCAAATTCGCCGGTCACGACGCGGCGGAGAAATTCCTCGAACTCGGCATGGATCCCAATCTCCGACAGAGAGAAACGGGCGACACGCCGCTACTCTTGGCTTCGTTGGCCGAAGACGACGATTCACGAACGATCGAGTTGTTGCTGAGAAACGGCGCCGATCCGAATGCAGCCAATCTAAGCGGATGGACGCCTCTTCACAAGTTGTGCTGGTACGGTAGCCCCGACAGGATCGAGAGGTTTTTGAAGGTCTGCGACGAAGTCCGGCAGGAGGTGCATATCGACGCCGGGGACGAAGAGGGTCGGACGCCGCTGCTTTTGGCTCTGGAGTTGCGCCGAAAGGAGGCGTTCGAATTGCTGCTGAGACGTGGCGCCAATCCGAATCTGGCCGACGAGGATGGAAGGACACCTCTTCACGTTATCTGCAAAAGAGACCGCCACGATGAATTCGCCCGGATCTTGTTTGAGATCTGTGATGAAATGCAGCTGACGGTCCAAGTTAACACCCGAGATTATGACGGTAAGACACCATTGCAGTTGGCCGTGGCGAATCTATCGCCAGAAATCGTCGATGTACTCTTGAATCGTGGCGCAGATATGTCCAACTGCTTTTTTCCGACTTCAATTGATACGAAACCTGGATATAATTTAGCCAGAATAGCGTCTGGTGCCCTGGCCGTAGCCGAACATCTCGAGACAAGAGGATATCGCTTCAGCCGAAGCGACGCCCTGACGATCATGAAATTCTTTGCTAAACACGATTTGTTCGACGAGTCATCGGATCTTGAAAAATCTCTGCGCCATGATCAGGAGTTCACAAACAACGCCAAAGAGATAATGATCGTTCCGAGTCTGTCGCTCTACGATCTGATCCACTTAGGACCCAAAGAGGAGGAAGAGCTACTCACGTATACAGACTACTTCGTGCTCTTGCTTCGCAATAAATTGTGGAGGATCCCAGAAAGGCACCAAGAGAATTGTATTTTGCATCTGTGTGAAAAACTATCGAGAGGATTTTTTCGACGCTGGGCCCTGGACCCGTTCTTCGAGTTGATCCACAAACGGCTGCCGCTTCTCTGTTGCGAGATGGTCCTGAAGAACCTGGACAATCGAGATTTGTGCAATATCTGCTTGGCGGCTGCAGGCCAAGCCTCGCGATAACGATAAATGTATTCCCAGTTCTTTATTTATGTTCTTGTTTTATTCATTGTTCCATAGAGCATAATTGAGAATTATTTTCAAAATATGCTCCATTGTAATATTATTTGATTTTGGATTTAGCAAAAAATAAATAAAGACGATACCTAGGCCACAATTCTTATCGGCCAAGCACAGATAATGTATATGTTCGTAACTTTTTTTCCAGGCTGATTTTCGAAACACAGATCTGCGGAGCCTTCCGTATTGTTGCTGTGAACGACTGCGCCAAATTTCAGCCAATTTCATCGGATAATTTTCCGGGAAATCAGGATCAAAGTTTTTTATCCTGAAAACAGTAATCAAAAATTTCGATCCTGTTTTCCGAAAAAACTACCCGATGATATTGGATGAAATTTGGTACAGTTATTCACAGCTACAATGCGAAGGGCTCTACAGAGCCCTTTTTCGAAAATCGATTTCAATTTACATTTTTAATGCTCAGTCGATCAAAATCGGGGCTTCAGCATCACCTTAAAAGAAATGAAAATTTTTTTCTATTTCATGTGTACAAATGTGTTTAATCAATAAAATCGAATTTTCTCATAATTACATCTTCTATTTATTTAAAATTATTATTTGGTAACAC